AGGTCAATTTATAGCAATAGATGCACACAGCAAAAAAGAAGAAAGGGACAAAATCAAAACATTAGCTATACAACTCAAACAGAAACAGAACAACACACTGTAAAAACAATGAAATGTTCTGGAATCAAGCACTTTCCAGCTGTGTATTTTAGTCCCCACCTGCAGAACCTACCATCCACCCACTGAGAGGCAGGGATGGGGGCAGCTGTGCAAATCCCTGAAGGGACCATGGGCGTGCAGCACAGGTGGGAGAAATGGCTCTCAGCTGCCAGACAGAGGCTCCCCTCCAGCTCAGCAGTACCCGGACAGAGGCTCCCCTCCAGCTCAGCGGTGCCCGGACAGAGGCTCCCCTCCAGCTCAGCGGTGCCCGGACAGAGGCTCCCCTCCAGCTCAGCACGGTGCCCGAACAGAAGTTCCCCTCCAGCTCAGCGATGCCCGGAGAGAGGCTTCCCTCCCAGCTCAGCACGGTGCCCGGACAGAGGCTCCCCTTCAGCTCAGCACGGTGCCCGGACAGAGGCTCCCCTCCAGCTCAGCACGGTGCCCGGACAGAGGCTCCAGCACGGGCCCCTCCCCTCCACGAAGCAGCACAGCACAGCACAGCCCAGTGAGGCATTGCACTGCATGTGGCCCCCAACTCCATCCCATGGGAAGCCATCTACACACACCAGGCTAAACACAATTGACCAGGCTACAGACCACACCACAGCAGCACCAGTCTCCAGAAGTACACCAGGAGACATGACAGCATCACGTGTAAAACTCTGACAAATGCCCAAAGCCCAACTCAGCCTGCCCATTCCCATGCCTTCACAGCCTGGGGCCCAGTGTCCTGCACAGCAGCCTGGCACTCACGTGTATTTATCACCTGGTCCAGCAGGAAGGGACTCTGACCACCTGGGCCTGGCACCTGCTCACAGGCCTCTGTGTTTGGGATTGCCAGGGTGGGCTCTGTGGACAGTCAGCTTCAGAGTAAGAAGTCATGCAGAGCCACCAAAATCTTCCTGACGCTGTTTTGCTTTGAACCATTCCCAAAGGTGAAGGGGGCTATCTCAACTCCAGGACACCCACTAATCTGCACCTCAAAACAAAGCAAACGCTTCTGCTTCATTACACACATTTTGGAACTGTGTCGTCTTCATCCTCCTGCAAACACTATAATCCTCGGGTCAAATTCCAAAATTATTTTGTGATTTGTTTATGGATGTTTTTACAAACCCCCACATACAAGAGAAAAACAATTTTTTTTTTGTTATTAACATATATTATTCTAAAACATTATTTTAATGTTTTCCCTTTCTCCAGAAGAAAAATAATTAAGAAAAATTACATACCAGGCTTGAAGGTAATTAGGCAAGTCCTGTTGGTACAAGTGCCTTCTGGAAAAATCATTATCTTGAAATGAAAAAAAAAAAAAAAGTCATTATTAAAGGATACGTAATTCAGAGTTCACAAGTGCCAATCTGCACAATATTATTTTCTCTGCTAGTGAAATAATTCAGAGGCTTTAATCGGATTCAGCTGAAAAAGTTTAAATGCGCACGTGTCTCTGAAGATGGTCATTTAGGTTGCTTCTGTTTTCTTTTCCTCCCCAATCATAAGCAATGGTACAACGATCACCCTTGCTTATGGAATATTGCACAGCAGTTAAAAAGGATTAGCCAGCTGTCTGTGAGCCAGCAGGATGAGGTCACTAACTGCTGGGAGTCAGCAGCAGGTCACAGAATGACGCATGGTACACGGCGTTTTTGAGAAACAAAGTGAACGAGCGGTGACCCGTAAGATGGGTACATCTGTAAGTGCGTTTGCAGAGGTCTGGAAGAACACGTGCGTGGTCATCCTTGTGAGAGACGAGGCTGGGGTGACTGGCTGGGGGTCCTTCTCAAAGGGACTGTAGCCTTCTGTTATATTTTAACTTTTCACAAAGAAAAAAGAATACATTCCCCGCCCCCCCATCTCTCTCTCTCTCTCACACACACACACACACACACACACACACACACACACACACTCTTCTATAAATTATGTATTTATTTACATGTATACTTAAAAACTAAAAGCCCAAGTTGCTACCTGTATACTTTTATTGATGGCGGCTGTGCCACAAATCAAGGGGAACACCTGGACATCAGCCCCGGGCAAGGCTGCTGGCACTGTTTGGGACTCTGGCATTCACTCTCTGCTGTCTGCCACCTAGCCGCATTCGGTCCCACCCTGACCGCGGCCACCACACTGTCCTCCTCCCCAGCCACCAGGAGCCCAGGCCACTCCGCCAGGCCCTCCACCCTTTCTCCTGACCTCCTCAAGGACTGAGCAGCCCAGCTTCCCAGGCTCCACCTGAGCCTGGCGTAGCACATCAATCTGATTCGGCTTCCAGAATGTGAAGTTCTGTCACGGGGCGTCTGAGAGCCAGGACTTGGACTGAAATAGCTCCTGAGCTTAAATTAAGTTGGAAAAGCAGGAAACAACAGTCCATCTCTTGGGCATCTCAGCAGAGCCAGACTTCTTTCTACACCATGAGCAAAGCTAAGGGATAGAGCCTCATGCTCCCTTCTGCCTCCGTAGCCCACTGTGGGCCCGTACTCACACCACCGACTGAGGTCCTCCTTCCAGTCACCATACTCACACCACCGACTGAGGTCCTCCTTCCATCCACTATATTCATACCACTGACAGAGGTCCTCCTTCCAGTCACTATGCTCACACCACCGACAGAGGTCCTCCTTCCAGTCACTATAATCACACCACCGACAGCGGTCCTCCTTCCAGTCACCATACTCACACCACCGACAGAGGTCCTCCTTCCAGTCACCATACTCACACCACCGACAGAGGTCCTCCTTCCAGTCACCATACTCACACCACTGACTGAGGTCCACCTTCCATTCACCATACTCACACCACCGACTGAGGTCCTCCTTCCAGTCACCGTACTCACACCGACAGAGGTCCTCCTTCCAGTCACCATACTCACACCACTGACAGAGGTCCTCCTTCCAGTCACCATACTCACACCACTGACTGAGGTCCTCCTTCCATTCACCATACTCACACCACCGACTAAGGTCCTCCTTCCAGTCACTGTACTCACACCGACAGAGGTCCTCCTTCCAGTCACCATACTCACACCACCGACTGAGGTCCTCCTTCCAATCACTGTACTCACACCGACAGAGGTCCTCCTTCCAGTCACCATACTCACACCACCGACTGAGGTCCTCCTTCCAGTCACCATACTCACACCACCGACTGAGGTCCTCCTTCCAATCACTGTACTCACACCGACAGAGGTCCTCCTTCCAGTCACCATACTCACACCACCGACTGAGGTCCTCCTTCCAGTCACCATACTCACACCACCGACTGAGGTCCTCCTTCCAATCACTGTACTCACACCGACAGAGGTCCTCCTTCCAGTCACCATACTCACACCACTGACTGAGGTCCTCCTTCCATTCCCCATACTCACACCACCAACTGAGGTCCTCCGTCCAGTCACCATACTCACACCACCGACAGAGGTCCTCCTTCCAGTCACTGTACTCACACCACCGACAGAGGTCCTCCTTCCAGTCACCATACTCACACCACCGACAGAGGTCCTCCTTCCATTCACTATACTCACACCACAAACAGAGGTCCTCCTTCCATTCACTATACTCACACCACCGACTAAGATACTCCTTTCACTCGCTATACTCACACCACCGACTGAGGTCCTCCTTCCATTCACTATACTCACACCACAAACAGAGGTCCTCCTTCCATTCACCATACTCACACCACCGACTAAGGTACTCCTTTCACTCACTATACTCACACCACCGACAGAGGTCCTCCTTCCATTCACTATACTCACACCACAAACAGAGGTCCTCCTTCCATTCACTATACTCACACTACTGACTAAGGTACTCCTTTCACTCACTATACTCACACCACCGACAGAGGTCCTCCTTTCATTAACTATACTTATGCCACTAACAAGGGTACCCCTTTCACACTGGTGCTTTCAATTACTCTGACTCATACCGGATTTCCAATAATTCACAATAAACTAAAATTACCCGCACGTGTTGGAAAATGTATCCCATGAAGTTGTTTTCCACTCCGGACAATGAAGGAAGACCATCTGTAGACACACTAAGCCAATGTCACTCCAACTTTTGCACCTCTGAGGGGCAGGCTGGTCAACTGAATGGAGAAGCGGGGGGGCGGCAGGGGCAGCCTTGAGGTCACAGACCTCTCAAAGGGCTGACCCTGGGCCAGCACCCACCACCCAAGGCTGTCCATGGGAGCCCATGCCCTTGAGCCAGACCCTCTAATTTCTCCAGAGCAGCTAGAACCCAGATAGTCATGTGACACTTTCAGCTTTTAAGTTCTTGCCAATTGAAAGGAAAAAAAAAAACCCAAAAAACCAACGTAGGCCAAACAAACTTGTATACACAAAAATCAAGGAGGTGCCGCTTTCCAGCTGGAGTCAGGCCTTCTGTGGCCAGCCTGCCGAATATCACGTGCCAGTAAGTTCAGTCTAGGAATTTTAGAGTAAGTGATATACCTTATACATAATGCAGCAACACAGAGATTAGACTCTGCTGACCACGTGAGGGCAGGGCTCCAGCTCTCTCTGAGTCAGACCTCACACAGAAATGAATTTTCAGTCAAGATGATTCAGGAATTTGAGCCGCATCTGAGAATGCATCTTTCCTTATTTTAATTTTAAAATTCCAGGCATCAAAACCAAAGCATCAGTACCAGTTGCTGTCGAGGTGATTTTGACTCATGGCGACCCCATGTGTGTCAGAGTAGAACTGCGTTCCACAGGGTTTTCAATGGCTGGTTTTTTTGGAAGTAGATCACCAGGCCTTTCTTCTAAGGTGCCTCTGGGTGGACTTGAACCTCTAACCTTTTGGTTAGTAGCCAAGTGCTTAACCACTTGTGCCACCCAGGGCCTCCTAAAACCAAAGTACCTACTATTTAACACCTTTCTGGATTCTTTCTCTCACTCTCTCACACACACACGCACGCACGCACGCACGCACGCACGCACGCACGCACGCACGCACGCACACACACACACACACACGCACAAAAGGAAATGAAACTCAGCCTCCAGAGAAGATCCTTTTGTTTCTTCTTCTTTTTCCTCCCAACCTCAAAGTTCACATTTTTGGAAATGAACCCATACACAGTGGGAGTGAGGCTGCGTACCTGTGGCCACTGCCCGTTTGACTGCGCCCGTCTCTTTATCTCTTCCACTGTTTTCCTGCGTGAGTCCTGGTCTGATCGCGACACAAACACTGGCCGGATGTACTTGATCAGAGCTGAAAACAGACAAGGCGAGGCTGTAACACTGCAGTGCACCACTCCCGCCAATGTGGGCAGGGGCAGGGCTGGACAGTGGTGTGGGGACCGATGGCAGGGGGACCGCCCCAGGGCCCCGTGAGACATGAGACCCTGGAGATGCCCAGTGAGCAAGACTAACAAGTCAGGGCTGCGCCGCAGCGGGCTGTGAATCGGCCACCAGCGTTCCGAGCAACTTGCTCCAGGCCGACAATCCACAAGGCCAAAAGCAACACTTATTCACGGGCCGGTAAATCAGAGTAAAGTGTACAGAACAGAAGCTGGTCCCCACCAGGGGGCAGTCTGTCTCTGGTCACCCATGATAACAGAGGAGGGGGAAGGCGAGGGAGACCCAAGGCTCCAGAGTCAGAGGGGCCGGGATCACACAGCTGGGTGCCCACCAACCCTCCTGATAAGGGTTGAATTGTGTCCTCAAAACCATATGCTCAAATCCTAAGCCCCAATGCTTGTGAATGGGGTCTTATCTGGAAAATAGTGTCTCTGCAGACGTAATCAGTTAAGTGAGCACCAGGTCATATGGGGGTAGGGTGGCCCCTCACCCACTATGATTAATGTCCTTCTAGAAAGAGAAGGAACACAGAGGTAGACACAGAAAAGAAGGCCATGTAAAGACAGAAGCAGACTGGAGTGATGTGTCATGAGCCAAGGAACGTCCAGAGCCCCTGGAAGCTGGAAGAGGCAAGGAAAGGTCCCTAGAGCCTCCAGAGGGAGAAGGCCCTGCCAACATCTTGATTCTAGACCTCTGGCCTCCAGAGGGGCAAAGAAAGAAATCTCTGCTGCTTTCAGTCGCCAGTCTGTGGCAGTGTGTTACAGCAGCCACAGAAACTAACACACCCCCTGATTCCAGCCCCTGTGCCATACGGCCTCTCCTAGGTGTGGGGCCAGGGTCACAAGACACATGCACAGCCATGAAGGATGGCACCCACCCAGCCTCAAATGACAGCAACAACCAAAACATCAGCTCGCTCTCTCAAGGGGACTTAAAAGTAGAGACATTTTTTTCTTACTAAACTCTGAACAGACCGTAGAATAAAATTATCCCCCTCCATTAGACAGCTTCCTTCCTTGAGAGACCATGATGAGCTGGACGCTTCATCAGACACATCAACCTTCCCAGCACCAGCTGAGGGTGGTGTCATCACAGCCTACCTCAGGCTGCCGCGGCTACTATGGGTCAGTCCTCTGCTGGGCCCACATCTAGATTTTGAGTTTCTTTTCTGAGTGTTTTTACTATTTGTAAGGAATAATCCTTCATGACGTTCATCCTTTCTTGGAGGTCTTCCAAATAGTAAAGAGAAAATGTATTTTAAGAAAAGAATAAAATTCCCTCTATCTTGCAATTACCATTTGGGTCCATGGGACACTTCTATAAAATCTAAGATACATGGTGGATCACAGAGATCTTATTTTTCTTGTGTCTTGAAACTTTTGGCATTCAACCATTCTAGGAACGATTTCATCCTTATTCACTGAATATTCCTGACTCTGCTAAAAATGACTAAATGAGCAGAAAAGGGGAGAATGATGGAACTGTCTATGACAATGTTGTTGCTAGGTGCCATCGAGTTGGTTCCAACTCATAGCCACCCCATGTGTAACAGAAGGAAACACTGCCTGGTCCAGCACCGTCTTCATGATTGTTGGGGTGTTTTCAGTCCACCGTTGTGGTTATTGTGTCAGTCCATCTCCTTGAGGGGTTCCCTCATTTTCCTTGACCCTCTACTTTACCAAACAGGATGTCCTTTTCTAGTGACTGTTCTATGTAGGGTTTTCATGAGCTAATTTTCAGAAATAGATCACAGGCCTTTCTTCCTAGTCTGTCTTAGTCGGGAAGCTTCACTGAAACCTGTCCACCATGGGTGACCCTGCTGGTATTTGAAATACTGGTGGCACAGCTTCCAGCATCACAGCAAATCACCACAGCACAACAGACTGACAGACGGCTGGTGGAGAAACCAATGCAACAGTGAAATAAATGATCCCGACTGCACCACCTTTCAGTTTCCGTATCGTTTTGCCCAAAGTACTGCACCTCTTTCAAGAGGGTGTAACAGCAGTCTGCAGACACCATCTCTGAATCTTGCTGGTTGGTTTGTTTCATCGAACAGAGTTGAGATTTCGGAAGTTCTCATTTTCTGTCCACAGTGGCAAAGAGAACAAAATTGACAGAGGAAGGTGCTTCATGATTCTTAGACAGTTCAGGAGATAAACGCAGTGAGACAGAAAGTAGCTCTCTAGACTCTAAGGATGATGGTGAAAACGACTGAGCAAAGTCTCAGTTGTGCATCTTCTGATGGTGACATCCGAGGTGAATTTTCTCAAACTCAAGAATCGTGAGTGAACAATGCGTTTCTGGTAACTATGGTTTCTCATCCAGTTAGTCCTTCAACAGGAAGGAATTCACCTCACACTGTTGGGCAACAGGAACTTGAACTGTCCTACTGTACTAAAAAGAAGAAGAAATGTGTGGCTGCATTCTTTCATCTCTTTTTGACATTTATGCATCAACATTTATTTGATAAGGTTTGTAAATGGACAAGCGCCAAAGGCAGTGTGTATATAAAGGTGACTGAAAGGAAATAGGAGCCCTGATGGAGCAGTGGTGAAGAGCTCAGCTGCTAACCTAAAGGTCAGTGGTGCGAATCCACCAGCCACTCCTTGGAAACCCTATGGGGCAGTTCTACTTTGACCTACGGGGTCGCTATGAGACGGAATCACCTCGACGGCAATGGGTTTGGTTTTTTCCTTTTGAAAGGAAATAAATGATGGAAAAATGAAAAAAAAAAAATCATTGGATCGATCATTCTAATTGGTATTTATAAATCTAAAAATTAAAGTAATTCTGTAATTATGGAACAAAATAGATAACTGTCTTCTCTTCAACAAAACCGTGAGCTGTCGAAGAGTTCAAAAGTATCGTGCGTCACAAACCAAGTATAAGAAGAGAAGCCAGAGCAAGGATGAGTTAGAGCCCACTACAGATGGAGGTGAACTCCAGAATCTGTATTCACACGACGGATGGGTTCCAGGCTAATGCTGGACAGGGAACGAGCAGATAGCCACCGTCCTAGGACCGTGTCCCTCTCAGACATGCATACTGCCAAAATCAGGAAAAGATGGGATAAAATTTTAGGTGTGCTATACTTAAATTCTTATTAAAATTTCAAATAAAAGTTGTTTGTTGCTATTCCTTTACTCTTGCTTCTATAAATTATTCATAAAATAACTTAAAATAGGAAAATATACACAGAGGACCCTCTGGACACAGAGAGAACATGGTGGCGACTATTTTCCCCGATACCCTGAGGGTTAGAGTCAGTAGTGGGCTGGGCCGGGAACCCCACTCTGATTTCAAAGCCTAGTGTTAGTTACCGTCGCGTTGGCTCTGACTCATGGTGAACGCATGTACAACAGAACAAAATGTTGCCCAGTTCTGCACCATCTTCACGATCACTGGTATGCTCAAGTCCATTGTGGCGGTCGCTGTGTATTCTGAGTGTCTTTCAACCTCGGGGGCTCCTCTTCCAGCACTGTATCAGACAGTGTTCTGCTGTGATCCATAAGGTTTTCATTGGCTAATTTTCAGAAGTAGATCACCAGACCTTTCTTCCTAGTCTGTCTTAGTCTGGAAGCTACGCTGAAACCTGTCCACCGTGTGTGACCCTGCTGGTATTGGAAATACTGCTGGCAGAGCTTCCAGCACCAGCAACACACAAGCCAGCACAGTACAACCAACCGACACATGGTGGTGGTCTCAAAGCCTAGCTCCCAGCAGACTCAACTAACAACATCGGCTTTTGATGCCCTGAACTCAGCAACACAGACAAGTGAATGCAACTATGATCCATGCTGACTCTAACTGGTGACTTGAGCCATAATCAAAGCCAAGGTTTTAGGAGGATTTTGCATAACTGCATGACTGTGAGATGACCTCATCTCCCAATGCCAGAACTTCTGAAACGCTGAGTCCGCAGCCTCAAGCCTGCAAACTGCAAAGAAACAAACAGAGCAAGCTCCTTCTCCACAAAACCCCAAACATCTTTCCAGTTCCTCTACCAGCAACTGCACTCCTTTATGCCTAGGGATCTGTAGTGACTTCTTGGAGTTATAAAAGTCAACTGTAAAATCCTCCAATGATCTCTGCCCAGCGTGCAGAAAATTCCTAGAATTTAACCCGATAATCCTTTCTTTGGAAAAGCCGGTTCTCTATTACTGGCCTAATATCCCCATGACAGGAGTCTGCAAGCGTTTGCAAACCTTCCCTTTAGGAATCTTGGTCAATTTAGAGGTGGGGCTCCTCACCCTACTTTTTATTTTTATGGGTCACGCATCTGTGGGGAGCACACCTTCTCTGTGCTTTTGTTTTGTAATTAACATCACTGAAAACTGCTAACTCCCACAGTGCAATCTGCTACACTGTTTGTGGCAAGGAGACCAAAGACCAGCCAAGTGTATGCCTCCTAGCTGGTCGCCCAGTGAGACCTCGGCTGGCTAGAATGGTGAGCTGGAGCAGAACTGAGCTTAACAAAGACTACAGTCATTCTTTTACTTCATACTAAAAAAAAAAAAAAAGTGATTCTTTTATTTCAGCCACAAACCGCTGATCCACAGAATCAGTTGTTAACTGTTTCATGGCCAAGGAAGCAAACTCCTGCCACAGATGGACAGGCGCCCAGTTGAGGAACAGAGGTGGAATTCATGCTTGGATCCACCCAATCTCCAATCACCTTGCTTTTAACACTCCACTAAAATGCTTCCCAAGTCCACGCACGAGGAGGGGTATGCATTTCCCATGAAGACAACCCGTGGGGTTGGGATGTTTCCAGGGGGTGTGGGCACGGGGAGGGGACATCAATGCTGCAGAAACTATGTCTGCAGTAGGACCTGGCTGAGAAGTGGGAGCTGGTGGCAATTTGTTTCAGCAGTCACTGAGTGACTCGTTTACGATAGAGTAACTAGTACACCTAGTCAGAGTCACTAAGTTGTTCTCAAAGACCTCTAGAACTTACTACCTGATAAAGATAATTAAAAAAAAAATTTGCTGTTGAGTAGATTCTGACCCATGACTCCATGTGTGTCAGTGCAGAACTGCACTCCATACGGTTTTCAATGGCCGATTTTTTGAAGTAGATAGCCAGGCCTTTCCTCGAGGTGCCTCTGGGTGGACTTGAACCTCCAACCTTTCCGTTAGCAGTCGAGTGTGTTAACCATTAGCACCACCCAGGGAGTCCTGATAAAGGTAATACATACTTATTAAATATAACTTGTATAAGCACTTCAGTGTTAGGATTATTTGAGGGCACTTGGGTGCGAATAAAAATCATGACAACGATGTCATGGAGGAAAACCACAGCAGAGAAAAGACAAGGGGATGAGGGTGAGCCCTGCTTTGCGTGGGCATGGCGCCTGGTCGGAGCTGCCTGGGAGGGGTGGGCAGATGCACTTACTTCCCCATATCGGGATGTCCCTGCTCTCCGCCTTCATCACGATGGATGACATGGTCATAGTCACGGGGATGGCGTCGAAGTATGAGGAGTGTGGTGCCAGGGTCAGGATGGCCGCCTCAGTTGGTAGGGCCTGCCGCCCCTTCACGGTCACCCGGTGGAAGCCGCCGGCAAACCACATGGTCCGCATGATGGCCTTGAGCAGTAAGTCCACGACCCTGCAAGAGAAGGCACTGCCGTGAGACCTGAAGCCAAGAGGGGGTATAGGCAAGGCCCCAAAGCTTGCAATCATACCACCCAGAGTGTCACTGCTGCAGGTTAATTAAGCCCACTCTCAAAGATGTTGGCATGAGGATCTGAGCTTGGGGACCTGTGCAAGTGACTATCCAGGGTGTAGGTCCAGACCAACCAGTATTTGCAATAGCCGTTACCGAAATGTCCACTTGAGGGAGGAAAAACGGTACTGTGCTTTCTTCCCCTCTGACTTCCAACGCTCAGTTGAACGTCTTCATTTTATTAAGAAATACTGAATGCATTAATACAACACAGGGCTTTAGAATAATAACAGAACATGGCCCAGAGGCCAAAACTAAAGCCGTGAAGACCTTAAATGTTAGACATTTATCACTTGCATTCTAAGCATGTAGTTTTATATTGAGATCTGCCAAGAACTCCCCAGTCTCATATTCCCACAAGACGCCCGAGCTTCCTGGAATCAGACGTGATGTTAGTAAAACGAGCTGTTTCTGGATGAAATGAAATGACAATAAATTTGGAAAACAAAGTAAAGATCAGCCTAGATTAGCTGGATCTGTTCTTTATTTGCTTCTCTTTAAAATACATGGGAGTTTAAGCATCTAAATTTGTGCGTTCTGTCCACAGTAATCTCTCTGACAAGCTACAGATCAGATCATCACTTAGCACGTCACGGAACTGTGCTCTGGGTGAAGGGCCCTTGACGTGTGAGTAACCACGAGCTGCACAAACCTTAGTTCCTGGAGAGAAGAATTCATCTTTCTAAAGAGCCAAATCTCATTTAGTCGCTGGGCTAAGTGGGTGATCAAATTGCACAAAACCACCGCACAGCAAAATAAGACACTGAAAACATACCAGACTGATTTTCCCAAGTGGCTGGAAAACACAGTTTCAAGCGAATGCCAAGAGTGAGTCCCACCACACCTAACCAGTGGCCTATCCCTGGAAGGGCACAGAGCCTCTCCAGGTGCCACCCAGAAAGACGACTCTTATCTGGATGATAAACATCTACTGTGTGGCTACACACTGAAGCACTGGGGACCAAGCTTTAGTTTTTTAAAAATTATTATTATTAAAAAAAAAAATTTTTTTGTACTTTAGATGAAGGTTTACAGAGTAAATTAGTTTCTCATTAAACAATTAATACACATACTGTTTGGTGACATTGGCTGCCAAACCCACGACATGTCAACACTCTCCCCTTCTCGACCTTGAGTTCCCCGTTATCAGCTTTCCTGTTGTCTCCTTCCTTCTCGACCCTGTCCCTGGGCTGGTGTGCCCATTTAGTCTCGTTTTGTTTTATGGGCCTGTCTTATCTTTGGCTGAAGGGTGAACCTCAGGAGTGACTTCAGTGCTGAATTAAAAGTGTATCTGGGGGCCATATTCTTAGGGTTTCTCCAGTCTCTGGCAGGCCAGTAAGTCTAGTCTTTTTTTGTAAGTTAAAATTTTCTTCTACATTTTTCTCCAGCTCTGTCTGGGACCCTCTATTGTGATCCCTGTCAGAGCAGTCAGTGGTGATAGCCGGGTACCATCTAGTTGTACTGGGCTCAGTCTGGTGGAGGCTGTGGTAGTTGTGGTCCGTTAGTCCTTTGGACTAATCTTTCCCTTGTGCCTTTGGTTTTCTTCATTCTTCCTTGCTCCAGATGGGGCAGGAGCAGTGGAGTATCTTAGATGGCCACTTACAAGCTTTTAAGACCCCAGACGCTACTCACCAAAGTAGGATGTAGAACACTTTCTTTATAAACTATGTTATGCCAATTTGAGCTAGATGTTCCCTGAGACCAAGCTTTCATTTTTAAAACGATTTGGATCTTCTATTAATCAAAGTGTAGGAGCTTCAGCTAAAGCAACCAGCAAGATTTGGGGGGATAATTTGCTGAAGGAAAAGAGTTTATGATTTAAGACAACAGATGTTGTTGCCATTAGACGCCATTGAGTTGGCAACTGACTCATGGCGAGCCCATGCATGACGAAATTAAATGCTGCCCCGTCTTGCGCCATCCCCATGATTAGTTGCTGATCACTGTTGTGATCCACAGGGTTTTCATTGGCTGATTTCCAGAAATAGATCACCAGACCTTTCTTCCTGGTCTGTTTTAGTCTGGAAGCTCCACTGAAACCTGTTCAGCATCATAGCAGCGTGCAAGCATCCACTAATGGACAAGTGGTGGCTGTGCATGAGGTGTACCGGCCAGGAATCAAACCTGGGTCTCCTGCATGGAAGGTGAGAATTCTACCCCTGAACCACCAACGCCCTCAAGATGGCAGATGTGCCTGAATATTGACCTCCTTCTTTTGGGAGACCCCAAATCAAATGTTAACACAGCAGACACAGCCCCTGACGATGAGGGGCACAGGCCGGCAGGTGAGAGGCTCACCGCTGGAACATACCTTTGGACAACAGAAAGCAGGTGGGGCAGTGTGTCCCTGGGGAGGGGCCCCAGGGCGTGGTGATGCTCTGGTTGTAGATCTGGGTGTGATTACACAGGTGTGCACTTTTTAATTATTTGTTCAACCGTACATTTTTAAATGTGCTTTTCTGTATGCATTTTTCACAATAAAAACGTCCAAAAGATAAAATCTGATAGCACCCATGATACAGAGCAGGAAGAAACGAGGTGGAGGAGGAGGCAGTAGCAGGAAAGGAGTTAGACCCAGGAGGGCAGGCTCAGAGGCAGGAGGAAGAAGTGGAGCTGGAAAACAGTGGGGATTAAATTCCGATCTTTTATGAAAGAGACACACCCATCAGAGGGGAACGAAATGGCTGTCGAGCTCCACCCGCAAGCCTGTGTGTATGCCATGTACCTGGTACCTGGAGGGTCAGTTGTGTGGATGGACACCCCACACCTGGGAATGAGGCCTGGGATGCAGCACTAAGAAAAGGGGCCCCTTCAAAGTCACGCACGGCAGGCTGATCATAGCTCATGGCCCGCCACCACCAGGTCGGGCTCAGCTGCTGGCACCAGTGGTTGGGATTTGCCAAAAGGGTGGCTTAGTTTTTATGACACTTTGTATTTTGGAAGTAACTTAGAGTGTAAGGGTCTTTTGCAATGTCATTCCTCTTCTCATCGAAAACCCAAGATTTTTATTTTAGGAGGGTTTGAATGACATGTGTTCTGCATGTTTCTATAATGATCTCAAATCCCATAAGGTACAAGTCACTATTGTGCTTTCAAAGTCCATTTGTATAAACACTCATAACGTGAACTTAAAAACAGAAATACGTCTACCTTTGTGAGACTCTCTAACATTTACTATAAGTCATTAGAAACTGTAAGCCCTGAGAAAGTCATTTAGAAGATTTCCAAACTCAGACACAGAAAAATAGAAGCATGAGAAGTATGCAAAGAATGTAAACACCCTTTAAGCTCATTTTGACCTGGCATGCTGTGACACAAGAAAACATAACATAAATCCAAACAACCTCCCTAATCTCTAACCTTGAAGAAAAGACGCATCACTTGGCTACTCTCTAACCCTGGAGAAAAGACATAACATAATAGCCTCTGACGTCATGCTGGCCGTCGTCATGTGGAGCCAAGGTGACAAATTCACATATAAACCCTAAATTTCTGCTCACTCACTGAGAAAAGGCAGAGATGGAACTGCGATTCCGTCCGCCGACACCGACCTCAGACCGCCACGAGGAACCTCCACCAAGTTCAAGCTGCGGTTTAGCCTTCCTCCCGAGACCTCTTGTTAAAGGTAAAAGCCTGAACTCGAAAGATCTGGACTCTAGCCATTTAACCAACATTGTAATTACAATTGTTAATTCTGATCCTCTGGTTCTAAATGAATGTTGTGAGGTCTTATTTGCATGCCTTGCAATAAACTAAACAAGTTTTATGCATGTCAAACCTGAGTATCTATTAACTTTTTAAGATAAAATCCTACACATTACCAAATGAGATTCAGCAAGAATCCCCTTTTAACTAACATCAATCTATTCAAAACTGTGGAGACACGAAACAACTGTAATTCGCCACACCGCGACACGATTGTTCTTTACAAAAGTGTCGTATACTCGCAATCTGGTTATTTCTGAATCTGTCTTTTCCTAATCCCTGTCTCCCAAATCCAGGCACTTGTACTGCAGTTTTTTCTTAGAGGGGTCTGACGTGAATGTTTGCTCTTCTTTCTTGTTCCCTTCAAGCACCAAAGCCAGGGTGGGGGACTGAGTTTTTAATAAATGCTGCTGAGGAGAAACACTGAGGGTTATTTGGGGTCAGGGACACAATGAGGTACGGCACATGCATGGAATGACATGCAGCATGGCACACGTATGTATGACACACACAAGTGACAGGGGATGCAACACACATACAGGGCACACACACGACATGCAGTTAATCCCCACTCACTCCGACACTGAGTGACACGTGAAATCTCAATGTTTAACTCTCATGAAACACTTCACACACTCCCGTGAGATACGTATTACAGAAGCTTTGAGGGTGCTGGAACCTAGAGCTTGTTGAGGACTGTTTATCAGATAATCTGATAAAGCCCAGTAAATTATTCACAGGCTAGAAAAGCAGCACAAGGCTGAGCACGGGGGGAATGGAAAACCACGAGAGCAATTCATCTTAGAAAGACAGAAATCACAGCTGTGTGAGGATCCCAAGCCATCAGAGAGGAGAGGAACGAGGGGGAGGGTGTCAGTCCAGGAAGAGAGACGGAGAAGTAGGAAATCCAGCCAAAAAGTACTGGGAAAGATTCATTAAACTACCGTCACTCAAAACCAAAACCTAATAAGTCACCAAGAATTTGTCAAAAACGACAAAATCTCCGCTTTCCAGTTACAGCTTCTCAGCCTAGCCAAACTGAAATTCTGATTCCGATTTGGTCTAGGTTTTGCTTGATTCCATATTTGACATCAAATTTATATTCTATGATGAAAGCAACATTTAAAAAATGAACCTCAAGGTAAAGAGTGTTCTTTAAAGAGAATTTAGAAAATCCAAGAAGGAAAAAAAGAAGAAACCAAAAACCAGCAGTGGTCCCAGCACCCCTAGATAACCACAGCTCACACTGCCCAGATGGGCAGCGCACGTTTGTTCACTCAGTCAGTCACTCACTCATGTAGTCAGTGCAGTCAGTCAGTCAGTCAGTAAGTCAGGAAATTCTTCCCGAGCCGCCCCGTGAACCAGGCACTGTGCCGGGGAAAGACGGTGGAGACAGCCACCTCGGGAGGAAGAAATGCCGAAGTCCATTAGAAAACATGCAGAGAACTGTCCAAGAATGGGAAACGCCACCAGCAGGACGCATGAAGACCCAGTGGGAGGGTGTCACCACAGTGCCCAGACTGCCACACAGCATGGCTGTGACATGCCTGGATGCAGCCTTAACTGGGAGAAAGGAGGGTGCCGCCTTCCCCCCACGCAGCCTGTCTCCCATGCACACACACACATATCAGCGAGAACCAGTTTCAGAGACAGATGCTAGCTCTATGCCACATGTTTTCTCACTCATGTTACTATTACCACATACAAAGCCCAAACATCAGATAATGCCAGAGAAAGGTGTACTGGGCCAATCCATTAAACTACAGGGCCAGGTGGTGAATATTTTAGACTGTGGGTCATTCTGCCTCTGTCTCAACTGCTCAGCTCTGCCGACATAGCATGGCAAAAGCAACCACAGACAATATGCAGATGAATGGGCATGGATGTGTTCCAATAAAACTTTATTTACAAGAACAGGAAGTGGATGGATTTGGCCCTCATAGATTGCCAACCCCTGAACTCAACTATTAATATTTCTGTTTCTGAATAAACTGTTCAAGGACTCCTTACGATTGATAAGAAGTGTTAGCACACAGAAGGGCTGTCGGCCCTTTGGTTTTACGGTACGAATTTTAGCTTTGAAGACAATGAAAAGACTTCCATCTCAGCTACTTATTTACTAACGGCATATTCCTTCAGCTAGAAGAACAGCTTTAGGAATGTAAATGTAACAAGAAAAAACTGTGATTTTGTTTAATTTTTTATTATTTTTTGGCCTTCATTTGATCTTTAGTTAGGATACATTCACAGTATGGCCATCGACAGAATAGGCGTGGTTTATTTATACTTAATGCTTAGGGACAGTACGGTTTAGATGCAGGGTCAGGGGATACTAACCCTGCAGAGCCCACACCAGGGGGCAGGTGAGCAGGGATGCGCGGTGGGCATGGGGCCTCAGGAAGGGAAGAGGGGTGAGTGCAGGTGGGAGACACGAGGACGTTGGGATGGAGTAAGGTTTGTTCTGGCTGCGCAGCCCCGTGCACACGGCACGCTGGAGCACCCACAGTCATCACCAATCAACTTACTTCCGCCACAAGGCCAGTGGCTGTTCCGGTTCTTTCTCAGCAGATCCCAACGAAGCCACAAACGCAAAGGGCCAGGCGAGCAGCATCATGAAGGCGGCGAACAGGAGCCGGATGGGGAAGAGAGTCAGCGTCATGATGGCGATCTGGGGGGACACAGGAGGGCGTTACTCAGAAGCACTGCCGCCCACGTGGTTTAGCAAAGCAACGCAGGGAGACGGCGCTCAGGGCACAGGCCCGCCCGCGACGCCCGAGCTCCGTCCTCATGCGTAGTGACACAGAACGCCCTGCAGAGCGTGCTGCACAGGACACTCACCTACTGAGTACCCTGTCTGTGTGTTCCAACCCTGCCCTTTCCTTACTAACCTCCCACTGATTGGGGGACTTAGGAATGAGACTGGGCATTTTCTCCTGCAAGTCCGTGGAGGCTCCCCCCCGACTCACACAGGTACCCACAAGGGCCCCGCACCGGGAGCCGTGGCCTCACTCATCGTTGTCATCTGCACAGAAGAAATGCCACCCCGTTCTTAGCTTCCCCTAGAAATCGTTCACGAGGATCCGAGAATGCTCACACGACAATAAGCAGGTTCTGTGAAAAGGCGGGCCAGTCAGTAGGGAACTTAAGCCTGAACATGAGGCCAAAGGTGCAACTTTCCAGCTCAAGGAAGACCCGGAGCCCAGGGAATGGGCTGGGGAAGGGCAGGAGCCCAGGCAAATCAGAGGCTGCAGCTCAGCACAGGTTCGGTGGTTCAGTGGAAGAACCCTCACCTTCCTCATGGAGGCCCGGGTTCAATTTCCGGCCAGGGTACCTCATGTGCAGCCACCACCCATCTGTTATGGTGGCTTGCATGTTGCTATGATAACGAACAGGTTTCAGCGGAGCTTCCAGACTAAGATGGACCAGGAAGAAAGGCCTGGCGATCTACTTCTGAAGATCAGCCAAGGAAAACCCTGATGGATCACAATGGTCCAATCTGCAACCCATCATGGGGATGGCCCAGGACCGGGCAGAATTTCATTCTGTTGTGCATGGGGTTGTCACGAGTCGAGGGCTGACTTGACGGCAGTTACCACCACCACCAAAGCTTAGGGGAAATGAATGAAGGCCCCAGTTACAGGTTGAGAAGACATCATGAAAGGCTGGATGGGGATCCACAAAGAGGGGAGCCAGGCCCTGGAGGGGAAGGGGGAGGAGCAGCCAGGACAAGGTGGGAGGCAGAATGTCAAGCTCCTGTGCCCATAACCAAGAGGAGAGCAGAGGGGTGAGGATGGACATGGGTTCATGGCAACAGGAGAGTCGGGGCTAACAACAGACATGACCGCTGTGAAAACACTTCTGCAGAACTCTATTTTCCAAACATACTATCAAGAATTTCTAGGCCCAAAACACTACATATTATAACTACAAACCCTGCATATCTGAGGTTTGTGTTTTTGTAAATAATACAAAAATCACATCTATTGATGAACACATCTGTCTTGGAAGAACAACTAGAATGCTCCTTTAGAAGCAAGGATGGCGAGACTGCGTCTCACATACTTTGGACATGTTGTCAGGAGGGATCGGTCCCTGGAGAAGGACATCATGTTTAGCAAAGTAAAGGGTCAGTGTAAAAGAGGAAGACCCTCAACGAGATGAACTGACACAGTGGCTGCAACAACGGGCTCAAGCATAACAACGATTGTGAGGATGGCACAGGACCGGGCGGTGTTTCGTTCTGTAGTACAGAGGGTCGCTATGAGTCGGAACCGACCCGACAGCGCCTAACAACAACAACACCATTGACGGTAAAGCTTATGTGAGCTGTCATATTTATCATCCCTTCTCCATCCTATTTTCCAGTTGAATACCTGGGATCAAGTTCGTCATAAAATGCCAAGAACCAGAACGTTGCCAGCACCCCAAAGCCCCTTTGTGCATCTGTTCTCCTAGCCAACATGTCCTCCTTATCCCCACGGGAAACACCACCCCTGACACCAGAGTTGCCTTTTTTGAACCGTACAGACACGAGATCACATCATATGTACCCTTTTGTTGCTGGCGTCATTTCTCAACCTTATTACTGAGAATCATCATGATATGTTCACATTTCATGGTGACCCATGGATTCCCACTGCTGGGTAATATTCCGTTGTATGGCCATTTATCCATGTCACAATTTACCCATTCCACGGTGATGGCATGGGGGCAGTGGAACGATACTCTGGTTGCGCACTCCAGTACGTACACACACACACACGTGTCGGGGAAACTGCTAGGTCACAGGGTACACAAAAGTCCAATTCTAGTTGTTGTTGTTACTGACACCACAGGGTTTTCAATGGCTGTGACGTTTCAGAAGCAGATCGCCAGGCCTTACTTCTGAAGAGCCTGTGGGTGGGTGTGAACCGCCAATCTTTCAGTTATTAGTCCAGCACTTAACCATATGCTCCACCAGGGAAAGGCTCCCCTGTACCGATAAAGATTCCCAACGCAGTGCGTGAGTGCCCCATGCTTCAATCCTTGCCAACATCTGGCATTGTCAATCCTTCTCATTTCAGCCATTCTGGTGGGTGGCAGTGGTATCCTGGTGTGGTTTTAATATGCGTTTATCCAATTACTGAGGAAGGGAGCACTTTTTTATATAGTGATGGGCGTTCCGGAAATCTTTTGGGAAGTACCTGTTCAAGTAAGTCTCTTGGTCTCTTTTCTATTGGGCTGCTTTTTTTCTTACTGGTATATAAGAGCTGTTCATATAAACAAAATGAGGCCTTTATCAGGTCTTCATCTTGCAAAATATCTTCTTCCACTTTACAGCTGAATTGCCAGGTTCTCAATGTCTTTTAGAGTCCCTGGGTGGTGCAAACATTAACTGATTAACTAGTACCCAAAAGGCTGGCGGCTTGGAAGACAGGTCTGGCAATCTGCTTCCAAAAGGTCACAGCCTTGAAAATCCTATGGAACAGTTCTATTCTGCACACATGGGGTCACCATGAGTCAGAATCAACTTGACAGCAACAAACAACATCTTCTGATGAACAAAAGTTTTTAATTTTAATGTAGTTCAATTTATTAATCCTTTCTTTTATGGTCAGTGTTTTGAGTGTGTTTGTGTACTCTTTAAAAAACTCTCTCTGCCACATGGTCAAGAAGTTATTTCCTATGTTAACATGTAGAAACTTTGTTCTACCTTTCAAATTTAGATCTAAAATCCATCTGGACTTGATTCTGTGTAAGTGGGGTAAGGAGCCACATTCATTTCCTATATGGCATCCAAGTGACCCAGAGCCATTTATGGAAAAGACCACACCTCTGTCATATATGACAGTGACTGTGTCATGCATGGCAATGTGTAAACCTCTAGTCGGTAAGTCCCTGATTCATTTGTCAGTCTCTGTACCACTGCCGTACTGTCTTAAATACTGTAGCATGTACGTTGTTATCATTGTTAGTTGCTGTGGAGTCGATTCTGACTCATGGCGACCCTATGTGTGCAGGGTAGAACTGTGCTTCGCAGGGTTTTTAAGGCTGTGACCTTTTGGAAGCAGATCGCCAGTCCTGACTCCCAAGGAGCTTCTGGGTGGGTTCGAACTGCCAACCTTTTGGCTAGCAGTTGAGTGCTTAACTGTCGGTGCCACCCAAGGAGCCATAGCATGTGTATCTATTATAGATTGAATTGTGTCCCCTCAAAAAATGTGTGTCAGATTGGCTATCCATGATTCCCAGTGTTGTGATTGTCCACCATTTTGTCACCTGATGTGATTTTCCTATGTGTTGTAAATTCCACCTCTATGATGTTAGTGAGGCAGAATTAGTGGTAGTTATGTTAATAAGGCAAGACTCAATCTAAAAGATTAGGTTATATCTTTAGAGATATAAAAAAGAGAAGCAAGCAGAGAGACGGGGACCTCATATCACCAAGAAAGAAGAGTACAAGTTTGCATCCTTTGGAGCTGGGGTGCCTGTGCTGAGAAGCTCCTAGACCGGGGAAGATCAATGACAAGATCCTCCTCTAGAGCCAATGGAGACAAAAAGCCTTCCCTGGAGATGGCACCCTGCATTCAGACTTCTAGTCTTCTAAACTGTGAGAGAATAAACTTCTGTTTGTTAGAGCCATCCACTTGTGGCATTTCTGTTATAGCGGCACGAGATAATCAAGACAATATCCTTATACAAATACACCGTGTGTTAATTACTGTAGTTTTGGCTATTCTGACTTACCTAAAAAAAAACCAAAAACTATTCTTGGCCCTTTCAATTTCCATATACATTTCAAATCAGCTTGTCAATTTCTACAAATCCTGCTGGGGTTCTGATTGGAACTGCATTGAGTCTATAGATCAACTAGAAAAGAATGGACATATTCACAACATTGACCATCCATATCCATGAACATAGGAGATCCTCCACTTATTTAGGTCTTAGGATGATTTTCTAATTGACTGTTGCTGATACATAAGAACTCTGAGATATCTGTGTGCTGATACCATCTTCAGCAGCACTGTGAGTTCTATCAGCATCCTTTCCCCTTCTTTCTTGCTAACTTCTGAGCAGAATCCTCAATTTTGTTCAGCTGTCTAGGGGCCATGGGCTCCTCCCAGGCCCCTAGGAGGTGAGTCAAGATTTGCCTATGGCAATCATCAACATCTCACTCCCCACGCAAGCGCTGGTTCGCAAGGGCCCATGACATAATCCTGCCGATGAGACAGAATGAAGATCTGCTGAAGTCTTCCAGAATAGGTTTCCTCACTCATATAAAGACACAGAGTAGAAAACACCTCTACTTCTGCTCTGGGTAGCAGGAGCCTGGAGTGGCTGCAGCCCCCTGTGGTCATGAGGAACATGGCTTACAAGCTGCAGACAGGCAGCAGAAAAGATGGAAGAGACCCAGATCCGTGGTGACATATGTCTCTGGGCTTTGCAGTTGCCCAAGCCTAAGCTGTCCCACCCCACAAGTCACCTTCTTGGCTTTTCTGTTGCTTGCAGCCGAGATCATTTGGACACTGTTCCCATCGTTTCTCTAAATGTTCTTTTGGGTTTTCTATCAAGACCAGCACTGCCCAAAAGAAATAGTATGTAAGCCACCTATGCAATTTAAAATTTCCTAGTGGCCACGTTAAAAAAATAAAATGGAGGTAAGATCATTATTATGGTTTAGTTAAT